GTTCCTCAGACAGTGGTAGACAATACCGTTTCCTCCAAATGTGTAGCACAAATGCTCCCCTGGGGGAAGGACTCGCCAGAGGGGCGCAGACAACCTCTCATTTGTTCTCCAGTCTTAAGAGAGTCTCTAGATGTTACACTGTCAAAGAAAACCTTCAAAATATGCCCCAAATGTAACCAAATCAGAAATCTCTGCCTAAGTTTGCACTGACTCCAAAATACCGGCTCTGAACTGTGAACATTATGCGTTTCAATGGGTGCTAACTCAGCTATCAGTGATGATGCTGTTGAAATTGCATGAATTTGCAATAGTGCATTTAAAGTAAGTAACACAAATTTCGCCCTGCTACAGGAGTCTCATTACGACAAGAATTTCCGGCCGTTGCTCAGTTTTGTGAAAGCAAAATAATAATACTAATACCTATCTCAAAGTCCTTTGCAAAGGAAGCAAGTATTATTTACTCCCATTTTACTGATGGGGAAACAAAGGCACAGCACGGTGACAATACCCAGCTGGATGTGGCAGAGCAGGGATAGACAACCTGGGTTCTATCAGTCCCAGTCTAGTGCTCTATCCACCAGTCCACACTGCTCCCCAGGGCTGTCCTTATCCCTATGCAAAGTATGCAGCTGCGTAGGGCACCAGGAAATTTGGAATGCCCTGCGCAGCTGCATGCTGCTCCAGCCTCTGCCCCTCCTCTACCCTAGAGCCCCTGCCCCTGCTCCACCCCAGCCCTGCCCCCACTCCACCCATTCCCCAAAGCCCCCGCCCCATTCCGCTCCACCTCTTCCTGCCCCTGAGGAGTGCTGCAGAGCCAGGCCTGCGCTCCCCGGTGGCAGGAAGTGCAGTGACCCGGCCCCAGCCACATCACCGGTGAGTGCTGGGGAGGGGTGGTTCCCTCCTACCCCCCAAGCCAACCGCCCCCCCCCCGAGGCCTGGGGCCCCACACACACACACCCCGCGGGGGGACTACATAGGGCCCCAGAATGGCTAGGGACAGCCCTGCTGCCCCCTTCACATAATTCCAAAGTTTGTAGTTTGTAACTGCAAGTTCAGAGACCAGACTTCCACTGACTGCCATTAGTACTTCTGTGCCCTCCACAACCTCCACTATTAAACAAACTTCATACTGCTACCTTAGAGGACAAAACCAATGTGCATCATTCACCCATTGCACAGACAAGATAACTGAGAACTTGTACAAAATCACTTCACTCAGAGCTGGAAACAGAACCCAAGTCTTAGAGTCAAGCCTCAGACATTCTCCCATACAGCCTTTCAGAAGGGCTACTGCAAACTAGATGCTGCTGTACTCCACACTAACACAGTGTGCCTACACCTAGCAGTCAGGTCACAGAGATTCACAACTCATAGTGCTTTCACACTAGAAAATCGGATTACTCAAGTAGTAGAGAGAGGCTCATGCTTTTACATCCAGCGATCCAGCTTCCACAGACAACCCCAACAGGGACATTGTCACATTAGTTATGCTGTCTGTAACCAATAGTCCCCAATCTACTCCCAGTGCTAAAATGAGAAACCAAGAATCCTGATGCCCAGCATTCCACTACTGCCTCACAAACACTTGTGAAATCCACTGACAACATGCGTCACATCTCCATGCATGGTCTGGTCCACACAGGATAACATACTTTCCCACCACAGGTAATGCTATAGCTGAATTGGAGTGATCTGTACTGTGGTTATGAAGACTGTGGGTTCAAAAACTGCTGATGAAAAAAGAATACATATATGTGTAAGTGAGTGTAAGGACCGTGGACTGATTTTATATTGCAAAACATGGTATTTGATGTGGATTTGAATGCTCTGTTATTACCTGTTTGACTGTTACATTTTCACTATCTGTATTTGGTTTAGTGACAGCTTTCCCTTGGATACAACAAGGTAAAGCACACTCAGCATGCGTGAGACTGACAGCAATGTATGAGAGATTTTGCATATGTCCGAGTAGGATGTCATGCCTGTGTAAACTCCAGAAAGGTAAGAACTTGATTTAATAAGGTTATTGTTTCCAAAAATTTAGCTTCACTCTCATCAGTATTTATAGGGACAGCAATGCCCTGAGGCATCCCAGTGCATAGGTGCTGGAACTAGTGGTGCTAGGGTTGCAGCCTCACCCTCTCGCTTGAAGTGGTTTCCATCATATACGGGGTTTACAGTTTGGTTCAGTGGCTCTCAGCACCCCCACTATACAAACTGTTCCAGTACCCCTGTCCCAGTGAGTTGTAAAGCCTGTCACTGGTAGGTCACCAGTGTAAATCCGGCCCAGCTCAGCAGGGATTAAAAGGTTGTAGCCATCACAACTATATGAGATGAGTCTGGCAAATCCACGTTGCAGTTCCCACATCATGGATTCACCACTTTACTTTGCACTAGATGGTAGTCTCTTACCACTAGTATCAGAGGGGTAACCATGTTAGTCTGCATCCACAAAAATGACAAGGAGTCTAGTGGCACCTTAAATACTAACATTTATTAGGGCATAAAGCTTTTGTGAGTAAAAAACCCACTTCTTTAAGGTGCCACCAGACTCCTTGTTGTTTTTGTCTCTTACCACATTTTGTAAAGAGCCTAGAACTATGGGTCCTCAGGATCCTCACTGCAGGAGCTCTCACTAGAAGATCAAAATGATCTTCTTTACTATAAGCGTGAAAGTGGGCAACACTGCAATTGTCAAAAACACTGCAGGTGGGCAGGGGGAGTGCAAAAATGATAAATCAGTCCAAAAACATGATTTAAACTCTTGGTTGGTGGTTTTTTGTTTTGTTTTTTAAACTCACATTTTGGGGGCCAATCCCAGGATTTTTGAACTTTTGGGACTGGCAGTTCTGTCAATACCAGCTGGCTATTTCATTGCTTATCAAAGCATGTGAGAAAGGAGAAGTATTGTATTATAAAGATCTACACACCAACAGTTTCCAAAGGAGGGAGGACTATGTGGAAGACATGCACATCTTAATTTAGGGTAAGTGCTCCCACACATGGTGAGGTTATACTGAGCAGCACATTGGTTTGTTTCCCCCCCCCCTTAAGTGGATCTCTGCTTTCAAAAGGTTAGAAAATGCTGATATATTACACCAGTATTTAACACCACATTTGGTTCTGTACATGCACTATGAATTGTACAAGCGTTTATACATATGCCGGTATACCACCTTTGGCAAAAATTTGAAGAAAAAAAATGAAAAAATCTAAAAGACTGAATTCTGAATACTGTAGCATAAAGTTCCTACTGTATGTCCTGCCAAGTAATGCCTACTACAATGGCAATGAGTGAGACCAAAACACAGCCACAAAGGCTACAACACTGCATACAACAATAGTTATATCAGTTTTAAGCCAAACCCATTGATCAGCAAAAACTAGAATCCCATGTGGTATTTATAGTTGTTTCTTCAACATTTATATTTTCCCAGAAAGATCACTATTAAGTATCCAAGCATAATAAGATTTTAACTGATGTTATCCAAGTTATACTAATTTTTTTCTACATCACAGAAACAAATGAGCTCTTCATAAATATTTTGAGACCGAACAGTGTTCGGTTAAAGGCCAATAAACCTTATGACAGGTTTCAGAGTAGCAGCCATGTTAGTCTGTATCCGCAAAAAGAAAAGGAGTACTTGTGGCACCTTACAACAATAAATGTTAGTCTCTAATGTGCCACAAGTACTCCTTTTCTTTTTGCGAATAAACTTTATGTCCTCCTTAAAAAATAAAAAAAGCTCTATTCCCCTAATCATTTTACATTCCCTTGATTAGTTCTGCAGCACTGGAAGTTGTGAAATATGCCAATGGCGACTAGCTCCTGCATAACCTTTGTGCCCAGTAGCAATCGCATCAGGAACCTTGTCTATTTCTCAGAGGGAAGTACAGATTGAGCTCAACACAACACCGTCCTCTTGGATCTCTAGCATAGATAAACTGCACAAGAAAGGTAAATGATAGCCCATTCCCATACGTGATCTGTGAAGTCAGTTGTATGATTTTAATGCTACAGATCTTTCAGCCAAGAGAAAGATTTGGACAAACATACACTCCCCCAAAACATGCACAACATGGATTTCTCCAATATATACACATCAGTATTTACAGACACAAAACCTTTGTTTCTGACACCTGTGAGGAAATTTGTGGCTCTCGCTGGATGGGATTCACTAGAGACTACAACATGTTTCTTCTCTTTATTAAACTCCCCACCCCCGTCGGTTTTGTAAGGGCTGCTTAAGAAAGCATTTAACCTGAAATAAATGACATGGGTGGGTGCTGTTTTCTGGAGTGACTTAGCATCCCTGGCTGGCTGGCAGCAGCCTCTGCAGGCTGTGAGCAAACCTTCGTTAACTGGAAGATATCAAAATCCCCCGGCCATCCCTCCCTGCACTATTCCCTCGTAATTCAACCTTGTACAATTCTACCAGCAACCCATCTGGGGCAAGTCACCTCTCACTGGCCCTTCGGTTCTCACAGCAAGGAAGGACAAGTGGATGTTCATAACGACTTTGCAAAGAGCTATAAATGTTACGGCCTCCGCTGATTTACCTGCCCCCAGAGCTTTTGCTGACTCAAGCATTAACTGTAAAGGGCACCCCGTGGGGAGGGGGAATTTCAGGGAGGCAATTCGCGGGGGGAAGCTGTGGGTTTGGGGGATGTTAGCAGGGTGAGTGGTTTCAGAGAAGGGATTTGGAGGAGCCCCGGGATTTGGGGCTGTAGATCCGAGGGGGTGGGAGAGGGGTAATTCCCAAGAGGTAGCTCAGGGAAGGCTGAGGGCCAGGGGATAACAGAAGGAAGCGGTAGCTTTCGGGGGGCGAGAGGGGCCGGGGGAGGCTGCGGGTTCGGCGGGGGCGCGAGGATGATAAAGGGGGCCGGGGCCGTTAGAGGGGGCCGGGAGGCGTGATAACCGGGGGGGGGGGCGCGATGGGCTCGGCAGCCGGCTCCGCCTGAGCTCGCCCCGGCCCGCCGGGCTCCCCGCCGCCCCTCACCTGGAGACGAAGTTCTCCAGCACCGAGCTCTTGCCGGCGCTCTGCCCGCCCACCACGGCGATCTGCGGCAGCTCCAACAGGCAGCTCTGCCCCAGCGCCGCGAAGGCGTCCTGCAGCCGGTTCACCAGCTCGATGAGCCCCTCCATCCCGCCGCCGCCGAGACCAGGTAACGGACCAGGCTGAGCGGCGCGCGCATGCCCAGTGCCCAGCGCGCCCGGGGGCGGTGCCGCCCAGCCAGGCCACGCCCACTGCGCCGGCAGGACACGCCCCCCCACGCGCCCGCGCGCACACGACACTTCACATAGATGGGGGGGGTTTAAAAGCTAAATCATGAGATTGTTTTTTACCCGCTCCGTTGGGAGCCCGTTGTGTTCACCTTTTGCTGTCTGCAGATGTTATGGACACAGAGGTCACGTTTTCAAGCTTTTCTCCATACCTCTAGGGCCTCAAAACTTTTGTTTTTAAAATGAGGGCCAAGAGCAGGGGGTCAAACAAACAAACAAAGGTTGCAACCAGCTTCTGTTCTAAACCCCTTCTTTCTATCCTACCTCTGACTGTGGGTTGGAGAAAGCACGACTTACATTAGAAATGCCTTACTGTCCTTTTAGGTATCTGAAGAAACCCTGCTAATTAGCTGAGGATTATTTTTAATCCATTTTTTGTCTCCTCCTAGCTCAACTATAGCTTCTTACTACCCCCTTCCAACTCCCCCTTCAGCTAGCACTCCTTGAAAATGCTTTAGGCAGCTGTATATGAAGAAAATTGTTTACAATAAAGCAAAAAGGAGTACTCAGCTCTGGGCTAGCAACCTCTGGCTGAAGAAACATAGGTGAGGGGCTGGGTGTCAAATCTTATGTGTTCACCATTTTACAACCATTTATATAAACATTGAAGCTGTATCATGATCAGGGAACTGGGCCTATCTTCCTACCAGAGGCCATGTATCAGAGACCTACCAGCTAGCCCCCAGCTGATAGCAATATAGCAACTTGATAACTAAAATATGGCACCTTAGAGACTAACAAATTTATTAGAGCATAAGCTTTCCTGAGCTACAGCTCACTTCATCGGATGCATTCAGTGGAAAATATAGTGGGAAGATTTTATACGCACAGAGAACATGAACCAAGGGGTGTTACCATACACACTGTAACAAGAGTGATGGTAACACCCCTTGGTTCATGTTCTCTGTGCATATAAAGTCTTCCCACTATATTTTCCACTGAATGCATCCGATGAAGTGAGCTGTAGCTCACGAAAGCTTATGCTCTAATAAATTTGTTAGTCTCTAAGATACCATAAGGACTCCTTTTCTTTTTACGGATACAGACTAACACAGCTGCTACTCTGAAACCTACAACAACGAAAGTTATGAATGATTTTCAGCATTATACATACTGTGTAAGCCTGCTTTTGGCTAGTTGCACCCTAGAGAGGAGATAAGGGTTCTAGAGAGGACAGCTTTTCTTTTGTATGCGGTGTTAGTGTAGCCATGTTGGTCCCAGAATATTAGAGAGATGAAGTGGGTGACAAGGTAACTTGTCTCTCTTACCAACAGAAGGTGGTCCAATGAAAGCTATTATCTCCCCCACCTTGTCTCAGCTTTTTTTCTAGCTTGAGTGGTAATGGCCTGTTCTTTTTGGAACTCTTGAACAAGGTTTCTGCCTCCAGCTTTGCATGTGTTTAGGCTCCCTCCTACAACTGGCTTCATGTGTCCAGATGGCTGCTCCCCAACAGAGCCCCATTTATATGAAGGGTTCTGCACAGAAGCCACCCACACAAAGCCAGTTGGAAGATTAAAGAACCTTGGAGATGCTATGGCCTCTCCCCCATGAAGGTTCCATAAAAGATCCCATTCTAAGACTGATTTTCATTCATCGTGTAACAAAAAGGAAAGCAAGCTGTAAAGAAAACCAAGCTTGCAATATTGTATGGTTAAAAAGCTGAAAATTATAATGTCCTGTAAAAATTCAGTAAATATTTCTTCACCTGAGGAAATTTAAATGTCTCCTTTTTTAAAACGTTGGCAAAGTGGCCATGGATCTGCTCCAAGAAGTGACATTACACCACAAAACATGAAACTTAAGTAGAGTTTGACACTGGCTCGTACAACAGCCACTTTTCAAGAATAGGGAGAGTAAAGAAGTTGCCATTATTTTAAACTAGAAATGATTCTTTGACAGTGAAATTGATGCAGAATATTTTCATTGCTGACATCTGAACTGGTCCAGGCTACAAGATATGGACAAATGACTCCTCCTGCTCCATTAGCTACTAAAACTCCCCCTGAGCTTAGGGAGAATATGTGGGAAACCATTTTCTTAAAGTGGTGAACTTCAGCGATTTGCTGAAAGTTACAGGGAATTTGTTACAGTGCCAGAAACTGAAACTTGGTCTCAAGGTGACAAACCCGGCCTCATCTAATCTACTAGACCTGTGGTTCTCAATCTGTTTTGGTCTGTCACTGTGACTCACACAATGACCAAAAAATAGTCCTGTATCCCAACTCCCACAATCCTAAATCATAGGATAGGATTCTGAAGCACTTAGAGGAGAGGAAAGCGATCAGGAACAGTCAGCATGGATTCACCAAGGGCAAGCCATGCCGGAGTAATCTAATTGCCTTCTATGACGAGATAACTGGCTCTGTGGATGAGGGGAAAGCAGCGGATGTGACAGAAAGAAAGAAAATTATCCTATCATAGAATATCAGGGTTGGAAGGGACCTCATCTAGTCCAACCCCCTGCTCAAAGCAGGGCCAATCCCCAATTAAATCATCCCAGCCAGGGCTTTGTCAAGCCTGACCTTAAAAATCTCTAAGGAAGGAGATTCCACCACCTCCCTAGGTAATGCATTCCAGTGCTTTACCACCGTCCTAGTGAAAAAGATTTTCCTAACATCCAACCTAAACCTCCCCCACTGCAACTTGAGACCATTACTCCTTGTTCTGTCATCTGCTACCACTGAGATGAGTCTAGATCCAGCCTATTTCGAACCCCCTTTCAGGTAGTAGAAAGCAGCTATCAAATCCCCCCTCATTCTTCTCTTCCACAGACTAAACAATCCCTGTTCCCTCAGCCTCTCCTCATAAATCATGTGTTCCAGTCTCCTAGTCATTTTTGTTGCCCTCGCTGGACTCTCTCCAATTTTTCCACATCCTTCTTGTAGGGAGGGGCCCAAAACTGGACACAGTACTCCAGATGAGGCCTCACCAATGTTGAATAGAGGGGAACGATCACATCCCTCGATCTGCTGGCAATGCCCCTACTTATACATCCCAAAATGCCACTGGCCTTCTTGGCAACAAGGGCACACTGTTGACTCACATCCAGTTTCTCATCCACCATAACCCCTTGGTCCTTTTCTGTAGAACTGCTGCCTAGCCATTTGGTCCCTAGTCTGTCGCGGTGCATGGGATTCTTCCGTCCTAAGTGCAGAGTTCTGCACTTGTCCTTGTTGAACCTCATCAGAATTCTTTTGGCCCAATCCTCTAATTTGTCTAGGTCCCTCTGTATCCTATCCCTACCCTCCAGCGTATCTACCCCTCCTCCCAGTTTAGTGTCATCTGCAAACTTGCTGAGGGTGCAGTCCATGCCATCCTCCAGATTAATGAAGATCTTGAACAAAACTGGCCCCAGAAGATATTAAACAAAACTGGACCGACCTTTGGGGCACTCTGCTTGATACTGACATGGAGTCACTAATCACTACCCATTGAGCCCGACAATCTAGCCAGCTTTCTATCCACCTTATAGTCCATTCATCCAGCCCATACTTCTTTAACTTGCTGGCAAGAATACTATGGGAGACTGCGTCAAAAGCTTTGCTAAAGTCAATGAACATGTGACAGGTACAGAATCATAGGAGATCTACAATCCAATCCAGTGAGCACAGGTGAGAATGCAAACTGCTAGGCAAAGTCATTCAAAAATTTCAACAATACTTTGATTCACAGAAGAATGTCACTTGGGAAAGATGCATTTTCTTTTGAAAGAACTAAGTACCAGGTGAGACCATTGACTATTATGTTATGGACCTGAGTAAGAAAGCAAAGCCATGTCAATTTCAAGAGTTGTTTTTCTGTTGGGTTTTTTTTTTTTTTGAGATAGCAATAAAATAGTGAGTCTGTTTCTATAGAAAACAATTTAAAAGCCAGGCTATTCCCTTCATATCCAGGCCAGGAATCAGTCACTTGATGAACGGGAGCAGCCCCAGTGCTCAGTGATTTAGGGTTCCCACTTTAGGATTAAGGTAGTGTGTACTTTATACTTGGTGGTAGGCGTCCTGTGCAAATGTTAAGCTTTGTAGTTCAGTTCTGCATTCGTTTTGGCGTACATGTCATAAATTGCATCCAGCACAGGAGTGGCTTTGGCTAGGAACTGGTGGATCTTCTCTAGAGTCTCCTCCTCGTTCACTTCTTTTCCTTTCTCAAGAGCCTTCAGTAAATCCGACTTGTATGGAAGAGCATAGATGGATCCTGAGAAGAGCTTCTGCAGCATCCAGCCGTGATATTTCTTCAGAGCTATTTCATAGGCTTTCAGGCAGATTGTTTAGAAAAAATTTTTGGCGTTACTGATAATTTTTTAAATAACTAAGTCGAAGCAAGGTTGACTTTATTTGTAAAGAGCAATGGATGGTTGCAGAGCTACTGAAAACTGTGCTTCCCAAATGAAAGTGTTAGCAACCAGAAAGAACTGCAGATCATTAAAAATGTGTACCGATGGTAAAACTAAAGTAGAAGGGTAATCAAATGCCAGGGATCATATTTGTTTGCAGTCATGACACAAAGGTCCTGCATGCAATAAAAGTCACCATTTTGCAAAATGTGTCACTCAGCAAAAGCTGCAAAGAAATACAAAAGCAAAAATAGATTCATCAATATTCAGCTGAAGGACAGAGTGATGAGAAGGAGCTGGCCTCTTAATAAATTTACAAAGCAAAGTTCTACAAAGTCATTTGTAACACTGGAAATAAATGAACAAAGTGAACTGTAAAACAAATTCAAGGTAATCCCTGCAAGCAGAGACATTCTGTAGATGGACAAGTTTCAAAGCAGCAGCCATGTTAGTCTGTATTTGCAAAAGAAAAGGAGACTAACCAATTTATTTGAGCATAAGCTTTCGTGAGCTACAGCTCACTTCATTGGCTGATGAAGTGAGCTGTAGCTCACGAAAGCTTATGCTCAAATAAATTGGTTAGTCCTTAAGGT